AGGTACCTGGGGGGTTAGGGTAAATCGGGGCTGGGGATATCCTTGGATAGCGTAGGGCTTAGTACTTCCGTGGCTTATCGCTCGCCCCTAGCAAAGTCCTCTTCGACGCAGTCCTGGGTCCCTGTACTCTGAACCCGAGATCTAAACCCCAAAATCGGCATCTTCCGTGTTGTAGTTTTGGGGCCCTGAAAAGTATTTATGAAAAGGTCTTTTCAAAAGAGACCATAAGGGAAATTGTTAAAGTTTCCCAAGTTGCCACCTAGAATCGACAAGCTGCGAGGCCCGAAACTCACTAAAAGGGAAGCGGATGATTTGCCGGGGCGCATATGCCAGCGCCACAGGGGGTCCATCGTCCGCCCCCTTTGAGGGATTGGGGATCAGGATTGAGGGGGTGTGGGCGAAGGTTGACTGCCTATCTGAAGGGTTAAGGTATTACGTGAAATTGTGGTTGTGGCTGTGCTTCTGATTGTGATCGTGGTTCGGTTTCGGTGGTGGTGGTCCCTCATTTTAGAAGCCGAAATGAAACTCCAGTACCCGCAACTGGCAAGAACGTAGTTCACACAGAAAGTGCAGTGGAGGCGAAAACAACCAAAAAAAACACTTGCTCCAACGACTGCCGACATGAGCCTATGCCAGTTGATGCTAGCTGCTAGACCATACTACATGTACAAGGACCCTGAACTCCAAGGGTCCAAGTACCTAATCTGGTTCCCTCTTGGGGCTATATTACACATGATGATGTTTAATCCTTACTGAGTTTTCTGATAACAAAGTTGTAACATTGTAGCCAACAAAGACCCAGTAATAGTCATGTACTCTCCCAGATACCCTAACCGCGGCTCCCTAATTCTTGGGTCCTTTGGACCCTTCGGGCTAAGCCCTAAACCCTCACTCACTCACTCACTCGCGAAATCCCGAAGCCCTGCACCCCAAAAACCCTAAACCCTAATCCCTAAGCCCTCATCTCTAAGCCCTAAACTGCGGTAAAAACTCCAGGCACCCGGGCGTCATGGTCCAAGAGTCGCTGCACCTCGGGGTTGTGTATACAGGAAAGTTTAAACCGCGCTGTAAAAAATAAAAATCTAAAAACTCAAGGTCTAGCTACTAAAGAGGGCTTGAAGCCTGCCTTCAGGGCTTTATTGCCTTGCATTTGAGTGGTGCTGGTACCCGGATTCTAGTTGAGGCGGCTCGTCGCCCCAGATTAGTTTAGGTGCCCTCTAAGGCCGTTGGAAACGGTTCGTCTTCGGGCCAAGAAGGGAAACTTTAGAATGCCCCAAATGATTCTACGCAAACTCGCCCCTGAACCGAAGCCCCGGCAAGCCCCGGCACCCAAATGCCCTTATGGCCCTGACTTAAATTCGTTTGAAAAAGAATAGAAGGTACTAAGCGGGGTCTCGAGTCTATATAGGTCGTCCCTAGACCGGCACTCTTGCTCCCGAAATCCCCGGTCTCCAACTGTCATCGGACTCCCCGCCTCTGTCACGGCCGCCGGAGAGGCCTTCAGCCGCCCCTGGGCCGATGCTATTGAAGCTGAATCATAAGTCTTAGGCTTTCTGGGGTTGGGGTTTTTGGGGTTCAGGGTTCAAGAGTTTGGGGTTGTGAGGTTTCGGGTTGTAGGGAGACAAGGCAGGGTTTCAACTCATAGCAAGGATGAACACGCAGCGTCCTCGAAGCATGCAGCGGTATTGGACGGTTCGGGATACGGTTTGAAGGGTTTTGGCTTCGGAGTTTAGGCAGGCAGTCAAAGTGAAGGCTTTAGAGTGGAGGTTTAGGGCTTGAGGTGCAGGGTTGAGGGCTTGAGGAATTGGGACGGTGCGGGGCATCAGGCATCAGGTAAAAATGATCTAACTACAACTGCAATAGATCTTAGGAGTCCTGAAATTAAATCCTGAGACTAAAGAGACCTAAGCAGCCGTCTGTCGAAGGCAACCACCTCTACGCTCAAGCCTTGAACGCTACCACTCATAGATAAACTTCAACCGTAGATCCCCCTAAACCCTAAACTCCTAAACCCCTAAACCCCTAAAACCCTAAACCCCTAAGCCCGAAACCCGTAAATAACGTACCCTAAACCCTGAACCCCTAAACCCCACACCCTGCATCCCGCTGGCCCTAAATTAACACGCGCAAGCCCAGGCCTGTGAGTACCAAGGCCACATCACGTCCTCGAGGGGCCCAGCAGTGTATCATGTAGGGCTATGTGGTACTTCGGGCCTTGGGTTCAGGGCTTAGGTATGTTGTTTAAGGGTTTTGAGTTTAGGGGTTTAGGGTTTATGGGTTTAGGGTTTGGACTTTAGTTTTTGTTGTTTTTTGAGGGCCTTTTGGGGTTAAGGGTTTGGGGTTGTAGGGTTTCAGGGGGATTTAATGTTGAAGTTTATCAATTAGTGGAAATTGTTGGCGAAGTTATTACGTTACGGCCCATGTAACGATACGATTGAAGTATATGCCAGGTAGGGGTATGAACACTATAGCGATCTGAAATGCCCTCCACAGCCAATGGGGCTTACCGTAAGGCTCCATGCAAAACCTACTTATATGCTATGTGGTTAGGCCTTAACTGCACATATATACGAACCACTCTAATCCCAAAGTGTATACGACATAGGCACATGGAGCCCAGAAACCTGGGATACTTCTCAAAGCTTGTAGACCTTGTCCGTGAATCCTAAATCCTAAGGCCCTACACCCTAAATCCTTAAACCCCAAACCCTAAATCCCTACATTGCATCCTTAAACCATAAGTCCCTAAACCCCCAAATCCCTAAACCCTAAACCCCTTAACAAGAACCCAGTCATTTACGTTGAAAACTAGAAGTTTGCAGTGGCCCAGGCCCAGGTAAATGAAGGTCCAACTCTGCAGCGTTGGGGTTTAAGGTTTTGGGTTTCGGGTTTAGGATTTCGGGTTTAGGGTTTGCGATTTAGGATTTCGGTTTTAGGGTTTCGGGTTTAGGATTTCGCGTTTAGGGTTTACGGTTTCGGATTTGGGTTTTAGGATTTCGGGTTTAGGATTCTGGGTTTAGGGTTTACGGTTTCGGATTTCGGGTTTAGGAATTCGGTTTAGGGTTAGGATTTCGGGTTTAGGATTTAGGGTTGAGGGTTCAGGATTTCGGGTTTAGGAATTCGGTTTAGGGTTAGGATTTCGGGTTTAGGATTTAGGGTTGAGGGTTCAGGATTTCGGGTGTAGGAATTCGGTTTAGGGTTAGGATTTCGGGTTTAGGATTTAGGGTTGAGGGTTCAGGATTTCGGGTGTAGGGTTCAGGATTTCGGGTTTATGGTTCATTGGGCACGATCACTTGCACCCTGGGTCTGCCAAGGCTTGCACAGTTCTAGAGTCTTAGGGTGTACTTGGAGGGTCGGGGGACTTAGTAAGTGGGTAAAGCAGTGGACTTATAAGTACCCTAATGGGGATCCGAATTCGGGTTATGATACTTATAACTCTAAAAATAACTGCAACTGCACGCTCCGGACGGGGCTCCAAATCTGTCAGGGGATGCTCTTTCTTCGACTCGCGAACGACTTGTTGTCCATTCGGTCCTTCCGGCGTGTACTTCACAACCATGCCGCACTTCTCGTGCGCCTTGCAGTAGACGTAGCATAAGTTGGAGTGGCGCACGATCTGATGTGGCACGTCTCCCCATTCCGTTTTCACAAGGTCGCGAAGTGACTTTCCATTGCTGGCTTGCCGGTGGACAGACCAAGTTCCTCCATGCTTGTCAGTCCTGACACTCGTAGGCTCGTCGTCGGCTGGAACCATTGCAGCTGCACCTGGAACTGGGCTGTCATCGTCCAAATCAATTGCAGCTTCAGCATCAAGACGGCGGAGGTGTATCTGCCACGCCATCAGCCTTGTGTATCGCAACGTTCGTGCAAAACTTCCTACAACCCTACAGGAACACGCCAAGCCCTAACACCCTGATTCCCAAAGCTGCAGTAAAAGCTCACAGCCCCTAAATTTTAAACTCTGAGCCCTCAGATCGAACCTAAAAATCTAAACTGAAACAGCTCCCCCGACACTCCAAGTAGGGATTGTAACCCCAGAGACCGTAAACCCTAAGGGGGCCCTTATAGATCCCTGAGGAACCCTCATAGATGCCTCATAGGTTTCGGGTTTCGGGCTTTTCCTAGTTTACTATACGGCAGAAGCTGGAGCCTGCTACGGAAAGAACTCTAGACTCCCGGAGTGTACAGGGTTGCTTTAGTTTAGGGTTTAGGGTTTAGGGTGAGAGGGTAGATCCCTAAATTAAGGTCCCTTTTAGCGTCCTTTTTATGTGGGTGGTTGTAGTAGTAGTAGTAGTAGTAGTAGTAGTAGTAGTAGCAGTAGTAGTAGTAGTAGTAGGTGTAGCAGTAGCAGTAGCAGTAGCAGTAGTAGCGGCGCTAATGTTCCCAAGCCCGAAACCATTGAGGGTTGAAGTCTTTTCATGCTTCCATGGGGCAAGCGCTCAGAACTGCATCGTAGGATATCCTGTCCTCGGAAGAAGGCATCGGGCTTCTGCGAGGCCAGGGATTTGCTTAAAGCTTCGTGACATGTTTGGACTTGTGAAATCTCATAGCCCACGCAAAATGCAGTGTAAAACCCTAATCCCAAACCCTGAACACCTACTCCAAATAACTCTAAACTGCAAACCCCCAACAGCCTAAACCCTAAAACCCCAACAAAGAAAACCCTGAACCCTAAACCCTAAACCCTAAACCCCTAAACCCAAAACCCAAAACCCTAAACCCTAGACCCGAAACCCTATACCCTAAACCCTAAACCCTAAACCCCAGACCCTAAACCCTAAAACCCTAAACCCTAAACTCGGCCCGAGCACAGGCAGGAGGGCGTTGCTCGCCAGCTGCGAGAGGAGCTTCAGTGTGGGCTGCCTAAACTTTAGTGTTTAGGGTTGAGGTTTATGTTTAGGGTTTAGGGTTGTGGTGTATGTTTAGGGTCCTGTGCTTCAGGGTCTTGAATAAAACCCCTAAACCCTAAAACTCTAAGATAGATTCTTGAAAGGGCTCTGAAAACCCTAAAATACGTCCTTCAAAGGGCTCTGTAACGCTTCTACAGGGCTTCAGGGTGCTCTACGCTCTGTGAGCTCTTGTTGGAGTTTGGGGTGTCGGGGGCTTTGCGTGCCTGTGGGCTTGAGAGTTCTCGGGTCTGTTCGAGGGCTTCATTTTCGGGATTCTTGGAAAAACCTACTTTAGGGATTTAGGGTTTAGGGTTGTGGGCGGTTTTTGGGCTTTGGTTTTAAGGCTTTTTATGCGTTGGACGTCCTTGGGTTCAGAATGGTTTAGGGATTAAGGGTCAATTTCTACCAATGTCTGTGCATCAAGATGTCGAAACTGTCAAACTAAGTTTCATGTGGCCCCCGACCAACAGTTGACGGCTTGATGAATATGTTACCCGTGACCCCTTTCAGGGGTGCCAGGGCTTTGGGGAGGGCTGAAAGCGAAGGATTTGCCGGTCTGCGGTTGTTTGGGGATCACCGAAAGCTCGAAACCGAGCTCCGATCAATAAAAGAGAACTACCAAGACTCAAAACCTTTCATGTTGAGCCGGGCTTACTCAGACCGATACCTAGATTTGGGGGTGTGTCCTCTAGACTGCGTGTTTGTTTGGCCGGCGTTGTGCTTTTGTGTTGCTTCCTTTCTGCTACTGGTCAATCTTATGAAGGCACCCGCAATTTGTTTCCCTGAAGCCCGAAACTCTCCCTAAACCCTACCTTAAGAACCCAAAACTTACTTTTTTGTAGGGTCCCTATAAATCCCATATTAGGGTTTACAATAAGAACCTACAAAAAAGTGGGTTTTGGGTACCATAAACCCTGAAAGCTTAGCCCTACTGTATTATTACTGTATTATTACTGTACTACTACTGTACTATTACTGTACTACTAAAGTACTACTGTGCTACTAATGTACTACGACTGCACGACCGGACAGTACCAGGCACCTGACTTGGTCGATTGTGGAGGGGACTGTAGGCAGGAGGCAAAAGTCCCTAAACCCTAAACCCCCACCCGTCTATTTTGGCCGCCCCATTAACTTCTTGATCTCACTACTATATAGTCATTATCAGCCCTAGAAACCCCCCTAGAAACATCCCTGGAAGTGCCCTAGCTATAGTATCCATTGTAGTTCCTTTTTGGTGATACCTTTTACACTCCTTAATAGAAAACTGGTCAAACCAAAACAAAAACGACTACACTGGAGACTATAGGTAACCCCTAAACCCTAAACCCTAATTAGAAGAATCCCGTAGATACGGTCTGCTCAGGCGTCCACCACTGCTGGCGCTTCTCGAAGGCGGCCAGGGCCGCATTGCAAGCGATCCTAGGAGAGCAGCTGCTAGGGTTTAGGGTTTTAGGGTT